ACCCCATCAACAATTAAAAATACCCCATAAATAATAAAATAAATTAATCCATAAAAATCTAGTATAAAAAACAAAACCTGTACGTAAATACTAAAAACATTCAAGATGACGCCCCCCCCCCAAGGTCAATCACCCCACAAATTTAATATTGAAAACAAAAATGATGGACCAATCTTTTTCATGTGAGGCAGTAAAAATCCCAGGAAGTTTCATTACTAAGAGTTTTCTCACATATTCAAATTTACTGAGCCGCTAAGCCCAAAGAAGAAACCAAATGCAAATTGTTTGTAAAAACATGCTAAACCGCTAGATGCTTTATTACAGAACGTTCTGAACAGGGAACAGGCTCTTGCAGCCCTCTGAACACAGAGACTTCTGACCCTAGTACAAACAAAGCTGTTGAGCTGTCAAGCATTCAGAAGCACCTTGAATAAAAATAGTTATTTATAAACTGAAATCAGGAAAGGCTAACAGTGAATGGTTAGCCAAAAATACAAACGTAAAACAGTCTAGGAAGGTCCACCGAGTCTTCCCCTCCCTCACGCCTGCTTGCTCCTGGACTCTCCCCAGAAGGCGATATAGGATGCTGAAGCCCGCAAGGTGCTAAGAAGACGTGCGCCCAGATCGCAACAGAGACTACCTTTGCTTGCAATAACAGTAATAATAATAATAATAATGAGGCGGAGGAGGAGGAGGGGGAGGAGGACCGGTTCGAGAGTCACGGAGGTAGGGCTTGCTACAGGCATATCGGGGGCAGGGGAAAGAGAAAGGCCACAGGGCCCTGGCAAGCCCCAGCACGGAGCGGCTGAGCCGCGGGTGGAAACCGAGCCTGGAACCGCAAGTAGCTACCAGCCGCAGAAGGAGAGGACGCAGCCGCGACGAAGCGGCGCGGCCGAGGAAGACCCACACGCGACTCCCGAGCGCACCGCGCCGGCGACGACAGCGAACCCACCTGATCAGGGCCGGTACCCGGAGAGCCCCATCCGACGCTCCCGCGCCTCCTCCCGGCGCCGGGCCCCGCCCGCATTGGCGACGGCCCCCGGCGGGAGGGGGGCGGGGAGTGGTGGGGGGGGGGCGGGGGTGGGGGCC